AGTCAGCACAATCGTAAAGAACTGCTACTTCTCTCAAGTCTGTGTTCAGTGTCCATTGAATTCGAGTGAAGTCAGTCCTTTTTCAACTAAAACTTTTTATTTGGAGAAGTTCGAGTTGAAGCAGTTTAAAAAGGCTACTCCAAAATAATTTTTATAATATTATGTTTCAAATTACAATAACTGAAGAAAGTTTACTGTCAACCTGCCCATGTAGACTATATTGTGATGTTTGCTATGACTATTTTTCAGGCAAACGTTGCGAGTACTTGACCGGTATTACATTTATGCATAATAAATCTTACGTCGAACTGGAGCCTCTGCATACGAAACCAGAAGCAAACGTGACCGTGGTTTTTTCAACTACCCAACTTAACGGAGTCATTTTGTACGATGGCGTTTCTGAGCACCTCGCTGTTGAACTGTTTAACGGTCGTATTAGAATAAGTTATGATGTCGGGAATTATCCAGTATCTACCATGTTCAGGTAATTTTGAAGCATATTCTTAATAAGACTCCGGCGTCTAATCAATAGCGTACAAAAATGAGAAAAAAAGAATTGGCTTATGAACCAAACCTACGCATAACGTCAGATAGGTTCCCTAGAGCAGTATATCCAAAGTGGTCCTGCCCCCTTACAATTGTTTTTTTTTTGGGGGGGGGGGATTCTTTCTTGATTTGAAAAATCGGTCCAAATTATAAATTAAATTTGCCTTGAAATTTTACACAGAAAATAACAGTGGTGTGAAAGAATGGAACGTAGTTGAAATCGGCGCACCTCGTTCTGAAATATTTTGAAAGTGGTGTTATCAAAAGTTTTCCGTTATAAAAGCTCTGCCAGTTTTCTTATTGGTTCTAAAAGGAAGTTCTAATTTCTTTGATATTCTAAATTTTTTATTCAACTCCCAATAAGCCAATCAAATAGGTACCTATTCTTGACCTGTATTATAAAGAATTTTGTCTATATTGGTCCTTCTTGAGCAAAGGCAATATGTGTAGACGATTAAATTTTTTATTAAAATTACTTGATGTTCGCAGTTTCGAAACAGTTTCTGATGGTAAATATCACGTAGTCGAATTATTGTCAATAAAGAAAAATTTCACTCTGCGTGTTGACGGCGGTAAAGCCCGTTCTATCGTGAATGATGGAAAACATGATTACCTGAAATTAACTTCGCCATTATTTATCGGCGGTATCCCAGACGAGTCGGGACTCGAAGCTCTAAATCGTTGGCATCTGAGAAACTTGACTAGTTTCAACGGTAAATTAATTTATTTTTGAGATAAGTGGCCAGAGCCGATTATAAGGTAAATTACCAGTTTTGAATCGTACATCAATATTGTAGTCGAGGGTTCACCCTTCTAGTTGACATAAAGAATTACTAATTCATCTAAACCAATGATTTTTTTCAGGGTTGGCAGGTAAAATACATTTTACATGGCCATTTTAGACGTAAAATAGTCTATGTAAAATTGATTTTTATTTTCAATTTTATACTTAAATATAAAGCAATTGTAAAATGAGTCAAAATAAGGGGGAAAATTAGTAGTTCAATGTTTCAATAAAAATTTGGAACTTAGTCAACTGGAATTACAATAAAAAGTGGTTGTTTCCACTTTCCTTCATCATTTATTCTCAATTGATTTACCCGCTCAAATTCAATGTGAGTAGCTTGTAAGAAAATTGCGCGTTTCATCATTTTTTTTTATTTTATTGCGAAAGAAAGTGAATTATAAAAGCTCAACGAGAATCAATTTGGGAAAAAAATGAAACAATAAGACATTTCAACATATTTGAGCAGATTTTTAAATACCTATTTAAACTGAAAATTTTGTAAATCACACGTATCACTTTATTCCACCATTTGAGTATAATTGATAAATCAGTTATTCATCTTAGAATCAATTATAAGTTTTTTACTCTCATTGACTATTATTCGTATAAAAGCTATTACCATTAAATTATTATATTTTTTCACCATTTTCATATCTATTCGACATTTTAAACTTATTTCACATTGCATTTTACATTTCACGTTAAATGTAAAGTAAATAATATTCTTCTAAAATACCAAGCCTAGCTTTTTCTCTGCAGTCATTTCAGCAAACCTAATCCAAAACTGGTAGTTTACCTTACAGAAAGTAGAATACCCCTCTGTGGGATGCTTTCAGAACAATCATAATTTTTTTAAAATGTTTTTTATTCGAAGGCTGTATGAAAGAAGTTTGGGTCAACCATAAGTTAGTAGATTTCCTAAATGCTATTCGACAACAGAAAATTGCCCCCGGCTGTAGTCTTTACGACGAAGATGGACATGGAGGTGGAGACGATGACGAAGGTGACGAATATGTGAAAGAGCACACCATGGAGGACGACGAAGAAGATAGGGCTGTCGAAAATCTAGACCCCTGTTTGAACAATAAATGCAAACGTGGCAGTCAGTGCGTGCCGCAATCACCTTCGGATTACCTGTGCAAATGTCCAGCAGGGTATACAGGAAAATTCTGCGATCAAGGTGATAATTTTTTTGCTATTTGACCAAAAAATGTTGGGAAAAAGTAGATACTGCTACCCAGGACTAGCGTGGGAAGGGGCTTGGAGAGTAGAGTCCTCTTAATTGAGTCCTTTACCGTTCATATGATATATTCTTTCTAATAAAATTGATTTTGGTTTGCCAAGTGAAAAATTATTTCCAACTTTAATTTTGCAGTTGCTACGTGCAAAAAAGAATTCGCCAAAGAGTACTACTCGGAGAATGGTTGTCGTTCACGAAAACCCATTAAAGTGGCGAAATGTGAAGGTGGCTGCGGAAATGGATGCTGTCGACCCAGAAAGACCAAAAAACGTAAAGTTCGTCTAATTTGTAACGATGGCACTCGCTACACCAAAGACATCGATGTACCTAAAAGATGCGTGTGTACAAAAAAGTGTGTTGAATAAAGAAAATTTCCTACAATTTTATTTGTTAAAAATTTACTACATATTTATGCCATTAGAAAGAAAAATAAATTAATAAAACAATAATTAATAAAAATCAAAGCTTCATAGTTTTCCTCATCTTGTGCATTATACTATTCTCTTCGTCGTTTTACTCTTTGCAATGTATCAATACCTTTACATTAGTTTTGATTTTTAATTGTTGTTGAATATTTTTTTACTTCATTTCCTGTTTGCTGTGCGCGGATTTTTTCATGTAGATTTTTCGGTGTTTTTGTTTTAGTCATGAAAAATTTTCCCTAAGTCCTTTCCTCAATTTTTTTTTTAGACAAGATGAAAAAAACGTTTGATGAGGAACTGAATGTTGAAATTTGAATTTAAAATAGTACTTCCGAATTTACAAAATTTCAATTATGGCTTGTATTTCATTGACTGAATTTCAAACTTCTACGAATAGAAACAATTCTTTTATCGAAAACTTACCTCAAATTAGCGTCTTTTTCTTTGCATTCTCACGTTTTTTGAAATATTCCCGGGATTTTCATCTTTGATTAGTAATTTCAACGACAAACAGTATTTTTATAATCAACTGTCTTACTAATTTTTCCTGCTTCGACCTCTGGCAATTATTTTTGTTTGTTTTAAAAGATAATATAGCTTTAACTGAGATTCAACCATGTAGTATTTATAATTTGTGCATGTATCTTTAAATCTGATGTTTTCATCATTCATACGTATGAATTCTCACTCGTACCTTACATTTTACTT